AGGCACAGGCCCATAGGCAGCAGAAGTCGAATCTCCACGTTCGTTAGTCTGGACCAGACTCCAACCAACCCTGCGGGTTTCAGCACACTTAGGGTTAATCGCCGAACCATCAGTAAAAATTCTACCACTCAGCCTACCAGAGGCTGGCCAGTTGAACCACAACACATTACAGGAGGAACGAGCAAGAGGAGGGGGGATCAGCTCACGAGGATGAGGAAGTATCCCAGCAGCATACTTTTCAAGATCCTGCCCCCCGTCCTTCACTCTACTCGCCGCCTTAGCACAGGCAGCAGATAGATATTGACGTCTGTCTCCGTCGTAGGCCTCACACTCGAATCTCCTATGGTACAGGGTGCCCTTGCCAGCCAGGCACAGCTGGCAGAGGTCGGTCTCGGCCAGCCCGTGATCCTTGAGGCGAGCCTGAGTCCAGGAACCTATAGCAAACGCATTTCTCAGACACCCTTTGTGGTGGGGTCCCCAGACCTGGCTGCACCCATCTTTCAGAAGCTCTCTGAGCCCCTCCCACAGAACAGGCCTGCACCAGACTCCGTTGAGCTTGGGCCTGAGGAGGAGAGCCCTTTTGTCAGCCCAGTGTCCTGCATCACGCTGCGCAAGGCTGCTGACCATAACAGGCGATAACGAAAGAAGGTCTACCACTTCACCTTGAGCGGTAGACACCTGTCTAGCCGAAGTAGGCGACCAGCCTAGCTCGCGCAGCGTGAGTAAGTATACATGCGCTGGACTGGTACATACATTCCACGGTCTTCGGACTTGCCAGAGGTCATCCACTGCACGCTCAAACGCCAACTGCATAAACGTCAAGCCCAGGAGAACCATCCCAAATAGCCCGACACCATTGTAACACCACATTTGTATGGTAACGAACGTATGGGTCCATTCGGGCTCCAATAGGGTGAGCCCTGAGCCTGAACGACATCAGAGCCCCAGACTTGTCTTTGCTCAAACTGCGCGCAGCGGCAAGCCTCATCGAGTGCAACTGCTTGGGACTCAGACCTGCCACGGCGGAGCCCCAAAGGCCTGCCGCTTGGGGTCCGGCACGCTGTACACTGCCCACGAAGGCCCCCGCAGTCTTCAGTCTCAGTAGCCTCCTGGATCGCTTGGATGCCTTCGTTTCGCCGAATGCGTCTCGCAACAGCGTCACACCCCAATGACCGCACAACATGCTGGGACTTAAAGTCGTGCTTACTCCAGAGTCCACAAAGCACAACGTCCAACTCCTTGCACGATGCAATGTACTAGTCTTTTTGCCAGACAACACAAGCCTGAGCTTCTCAACTCCCTCCTTCAGCATCACTCTAGCTCCTCCCAACTGCCCCCCCCCCACAAACCGCACCGTACCGATGGATTGCATCGAAACATCATCAATCACATTCCTGATCGTGAGAGAAGGGTAAGCTGCCGTGATTGCCGAAAGTAATATGTACAATGCCACTCGCGCAAAAGATGTGATCAAACTGCAACCTGCCAAGATCGTCCATGTGGCGTGCAACATTGCCGAGCATGCACCCTGGAACGTGAGAGCCCGAGCACCAACATGCAACTTGATAGCAGCACGCGTAAGACGAATACTGAGGCCTGTGGCTTTGGCTTCCTCAAAAAGAATCGACGGTGCCACACGCTCGTAAAACTTGTCCAGGTCGCTAAACAGGGTCCCAGAATGGAACCGCTTTATCCGAGCAAACTCACACAACATAGCATGATTCCAACCAGCCCTGTCACACTCTTTATCCCTTTCGCCCCAGAAAAATTGAGCAGAGTGAGAGCGTCCCCAAGACCTGACCACCCGCTGACGGACTCTGGCCCAGACCCTTAGCACACTCACAGTAAGAGCCAGCGGGCGCAATCCAGCAACGTCAGGTTAACCCAGGAACACAATAAGGGTGGCATACGTGTCGGGCAACTCGGGGCTCTTTTCCCACAGCATTAAGAGGTCCGTCAACCTATCCACGTACTCATCGGACAACAACAACCAGCTCCTAGGATTCATACAATCGACTCCCAAACCAGCATCATGCTCGAACTTACTGAGAGCCCACCTAACGTGTTGCCTGTCGGGCCCCTCAAGAGGAGGCTCTGCATCTGCTTCGGCATTCTGCACAGGCGAGAGAGCACACTGATGAGTAAGCCAATACCCCCCCCACTCCTCCTGAAGATCAGGGGTAGCATTATCGCCTTGCAGCGCCCTCCCTTCAGGAGAAAGAGGCCCCTTAGTAGGAGCCTTGACCTTAGAGTAGGCGTGCGCGGCCTTACCAGCCTTGGCAGAAGCAGCATCTTGGGCCCAGGCCTTCCAATCAGCTCATCTCTTCGCAGACTGATATTTGTTTTTTTTTTTTTATCGTAGATCATCTTGCAGACTGGCCCCAGGTACCCGATCTCGATCCCATGGGAGTCATCGATCTTTCTGATCAAACCAGCAACTAGGGGCTTGATACTGGATCTTGGCACCGAGATTGTCCACGCTCAAGCCGAGAATGGAAGTGCGCAGCGCAGGCTACATCGCAGAGCCCTCCAGGTCTCCTGCACACTCTGCAGTCTTGACAAGAAACGCATCTAGAGCTCGCCAGGCACGAAGTCGAGGAGCACTGTGCGCAAACCACTTTCCTTTCAAGACCGTATCCAGGGACACCTGCTTCCGCTTGAATCCCTTAGTCCTTCCGGTGTACTCCTCCATCTCCTCCCCCGTGATCTCATAGATGTGGCAGAGCTCGAGCTTGACGTTTTGAACCCATTGACCCCAAACCAGTTCCAACTCCAGATCACCTGTGTCCCCCGTGTCCCAATCCCAGGGCAAATGCAGAGGTTCACGAAGGCATCCAGTTTGAGGCTCAGTAGGGAACACTTTCCATTTAAATCTGACGTGAACAGGCAGAGCTAGGCTGACCCCTCGTAGGGTAAGCTCCACAGGAGGGTGCGGCGAGCAAGATGCTTCACTCCAAACTTTAATTGCGCTGACACAAGACGAAAGACCAGCAGAGACAATAAAACAGTTATACTCCTGTCCAGATCCCGCAGCACACGTCTTTTTCCGAGGAGAGAACAGCGGCCCCAAGCTTATGGCACCATTCAGATACTCCAGACGCCCCAGGATTCAGACTTGCGTCACAGCCAATCACCCACGGAAGTGCCAGAGAACCAAGATATTTCCTCAAGGCTGCCATCAGAGGAAGGTTGTCGCCCTGGACCCCCTGGGAGTGTTAGAAATACGCAGACAACCAAATCAGCCCACCAGATAAGACCCCATCGACATGTCTAGCAATGATCCTGCCACGGGTCTCAGGCACAGTGTAGACCTCGCCCAGCTGCACCGTGCGCTGGCAGATGTGCGAGAGGCCTCCAGCCAATACACCTGCCGAAGTGGATAAAACAGACGTGCCTCTGCAGACTGCAGGACAAAAATCAGCATTGATACCTCGTGCTCGCAGGGACCCAGCATATTGATTTATCACGTCCTGATCTGAAACCCTCGTCTCTTGCGCAGCCCAAAACTGTGGCTTCGGACCTCGGGCCTCCTCCATCCTCCACTCCAAGATAAGCTCCCAGGATGCCGAAGTATTCGCATTACAGGAAAAGAAGGCCCAATCATTACGCTTTCCTTTCATTTTCCTGTCCCTGGAAGTCCTACGAGGAGCAGCAGCGAGGACAGAGCCAAGAGCCTGTACACAAGGCTCACGCCCCTGCCGCTGAGAAACGGCAGCAACTCTAGGCCGAAAGTCAGGAACGGGAGCTTGGGCAGCTCGCAGTACTTCATCATCTGCATGAGGAGCACCAGCCCTAACCTGACGTACAGGAAGACGAGCGTCGTCTTCTTGCTGAAGTGAGCGCTGATCAGCTTGACCAGGCTCTTCAAAGCACGATGTTCGATCACCGGGTCGGAATAAACGTGGGTACGAGAGAGCACCTTCGGCGCTCGGAGATACAACTGCAACCTCAGCTCCACTCTGTGGGTCTGATGAGTTGCACTTCGACCACAGTCTCCTCCGCCGTGCCAACTTTGAGTTTAGTTTGGGGGAGTGGTCGGTAATTGTTTCCCTCTACCGTAGGCGATTACCACGCCTGGCACACATCGCTGGGACAGCAAGCAAATCCGGAGCCCCCACCAACGGGGATGAGTGGCGCTGCCTGCGGTGCAAAGAAGACGTGTCAGCCACGTATGCCTGGAGCAGCCCGATTTTAACTTGGGTGTGTAAGGGGGTCGGATGCCAATTCCTGCCCAGCGACAGGGATGGGCTTCCAAGGTTAGGAGCGGAGCCTACTACGAATGCGTGGCACCCGCTCTCAGATGTCCCAGGAAAAGGCCTCGGTATGAAGGTTGGATGCCCATGTCTTTCTATCGATATGGATGGGCATCCTGGCTCTAGACACGGGGAGCGGATGCAAAGGCCCATGCATTGACAGGGATGGGCATCCAGACCAACCCGGCGCCAACTTGACTCTGGCAGTGCCAGTGTCCAGAGTGGTGCAAGCGGTGGGAGGAGGAGGAGGAGGAGGAGGAGGAGGAGGAGGAGGAAGAGGGGGAGAAGGATGAGGGGGAGGAGGAGGAGGAGGAGGAGGAGGAGGAGGAGGAGGAGGAGAGGAGGAGGAGGAGGAGCAGGAGGAGGAGGAGAAGGAGGAGGAGGGGGAGGAAGATGAGGTGGACACTGCCCCCCCGTCTCCCTGGGGCCTGGGGGTCCCCCCCTCGGTCCTACGTTTGTCCTTTTGCAATTCACTGCAGCGTAGCTGGCTTAATCCCCCCCAGCAGCATTGTCGCAAAGGGCGGGATGGCAGCATCCTTGGATGGATTCCGACGCCGCCAGTGCCCGGTGCCAGGAGGAGGGGAGAGGGGAGGGATGAGGGGGGGGGGGGGGGGAGGAGGGAGGAGGACGAGGGGGGGTGGAAGGGGACGGGAGGAGGAAGGAGGAAATAGGGAGGGAGGCAGCGAGGAAGGAGGATGGAGGGGAGGAGCATGGGAAAGCGAGCCCCCCCCCCCCGCCCGACGCCAGCTGCCTCTCGCGCGCTGGTCGGGGCCTCCTGCGAGACAAAGAACGCCGCCCTGGCGGCCTTCCGGCGGCACCTGGCGGCCAGACGCGCGGAGATCGAGGAGGCCAACCGCCAGGACAAGGAGGAGGCCGAGGCCGCGGCGTCGCCGAGAGGTTCGAGGGTCGAGTCGTGCCGCGAGGATCCAGGTTCTAGAGGGGGAGGGGCGCCCTTTGCTTCTCCCAGTCGCACCACGAAACTCTAGCTCCCCAAGCAGTGCTTGCACTCATGGGTTCTTACCTGTGTCTCTGAAGGAATTGGATGGGTCAGCCGACGCTTCGCATGGTGCTCGGTTGATGGGCGCTCTTTGCCGCCTCGTGGGCGCCTTGTGCGCTGGGGGGGTCCTGTTCCTCTCGTCATCGCTAGCGATGACGAGGCTCCGAAATATTTGCTTTGCTCGTCGTTCGGCACCCCACCGCGCTTCGGCGCAACACGCTGACCAGGGCCCAGCCCCCCATCGCCGCGTCCCGAGCTTCTCCTGTCTCCTCCGCCCTGCGGAGCGGAGCGACGCCGGCTTGCAGGGCATGGCCTGTCGCTGGGGCCGCCGCCGCGACACGCCGAGGACACCCTGACCGATGCAAGTCGAACTGAAGTTTTGCGGTCGGCGTTTCGGGGGAACGCGCCGATTTCGACCAGATCCAGGGGCCACTGAGAGGCCAACCCTCAAGTTCCCCGCACTCGCCCCTGCGAACAGCGCCGACTTTTGGACTTGTGTCCACACGCATGTCATCTACATGATTTCTCCCTCCTTTTCAGTGCATGCGCTGTTGGAGGAGGGGGCCTTTTTGGGCTGGACCCGCCTCGGAGTTGTGGTAGGACCGCACCCCTGGAGAAGTCAGGCAGTGGGGATGATTGCAGAGGCCTCCTGCCTGTGCCGCCGATCCAGGACGCTCCGGGACGCTCCGTGTGAACTCGTCCTGCTTAATATTTGTGAATTTTACTTCGAGGAGGCATGAGGGAGGAGGATGGGGGAGGAGGATGAAGATGAGGATGAGGAGAAGGAGGAGGAGGAGGAGGAGGAGGAGAAGGGGAGGAGGAGAGGAGGAGGGGAGGAGGAGGACGAAGAGGAGTGGGGGGAGGAGGGGAAGGACGGTGTTGGCAGTCGCATTAGGCATCATGTGTTGAATGGAATGTTTGCGTCCCGTCCGTCTGTCTAGCTCGTTGGCGGGCTTGTTCCCTGACGGGTTGGCTTTGGCAGTCCAGCCCCAGCCTGGGCTCCAGGCCCCAGCCCCGGCCCCAGCCCGGGCCCCAGCCCCAGCCCCCGGACCCCCTATCATATCCAGCTGCCTGCGGCGAAGCCCGCCACCGCGCCAGCACAGCTGCGCAGCGCTTCTCTGTGGCCTCTTGAGGACCTCTCGGGAGCCTTTCCAGTGCTGTTGGGGAGGCTTCGAGTACTCTTTAGGAAGACCTCTGGGAGGCCTCTTGGGGATGATTTGGTCCGCTCGGGGGCGTCTCGGAGGCATCTTGGGCCTCTTCGGGGCTTCTTGGAAACGTGTTGGGGATCTTGGAGGCGAGCCTGCAGAAAAAGGCTGTCAGGGCCAGCTCGATTCCCCTCTATTGGGCCCCTCTCGGGTCCTTTTCGGGGACCTCGTGGGCCGTCTTGCGGGCATCTTGGGCCCTTTTGGGGCCCATGGAGCAGTCTTGACCAGTTGGGCCGTCTCGGGCTTTCGGGAGCCAGAGAGGGCCAGTGTGATAAGGCCCGTCAAGATCCTCAGGACTAGTTAGCAATGTGGTTTTGCTCTGGCGGCCATCTTGGGCGTCCTCTTGGAGCACTCTTGGGCGGTATTGTAAGCTTCTGGGGCCCTCTTGAGGCCATCTAGGGCCATCCTGCAGCCCTCTTGGAGCGTCTGGATGCCATCTTGGGCAAGCTTGGCTGTCTTCGGGCGGTTTGTTGGTGGTGTGTGTGTGTGTGTTGTCTTGGGGCCTGTTTGTTTATTGTATACGTTTTTTCCCGCTTGTCTGTTGTGTTCCATGTATTGGGCTGCTTCGATTTCCTCGGCCAGAGCTTCTTTTCGGCCAGGTCTTTCGAAACGGTCAGTTGCTTGGGACAATGACTCCAAGTCGTCTGTGAAGGGGTGGGGGGGGCGATTTTCAAGGGGCGCGTGCGACCAGGCGATGGGGCTGGCCCTAGAACAAAACTAAAGCAGCTGTATCAGACACATATGTACATTCTAACACGCCCCAACGTGCACAAGGACACGAGGAACGGTGGCGGATAATGCGTAAGGTGGAACAGCGTGCTCACATTGCCTGCCGCGTGGTTAATACTACGTCACGCACGTTGTTCGTGTTGTCATGGGTTGGCTAATGGATGAGACCGCTGCCTTTGACGTGGACTCCACACTATTATCCGATGCCTTCATCATGGTTGCCGCGGGCAGAGCAAGTGCCAATGCCCACTACCCGAGGGGTCAGAACATTTCGAACCGAGTACGTCCCGAAAGGGATCGCTGCGAATTAATCAAGTTGGGATCGATGGCCACTTATCACTCTCATGATGGTTGGTGTCAGCCTTTTGTTTTTCCCTCTTTGCCGCAGGCTGCGGTGAAGGAGGGGAAGCTCTCCTCGTCACTCTTGAAGGCGTGCTTTCCTCGGGCCAGCGTTGCCAGTTAAACTATCAATGCGAACATGAGCTTGCAACTTGCGGTGAACCCGCATTCGTAGGAGTGTCGGATCATGATGTTGGTGTCGTTCAGACAGCGAGTATTGACATACATCTGCATTCGCTCGGTGTTGTTTGATTTTCGTTTGTGCTCTTCATGCCGTCATATTCCCAGTATAGCCTTCTTTGTGATGCCCATCTTCTCACAAGTCATGCGTGCCTTTTACGCGACATTATTCACAGTGCGACATGTGGACTGTGATGTGCTGGATAGAACGAAGGGGTGCACATCCAAAGACGAGATAAGCGACACGAAAATACCGCTTGCTAGACTTGACCACCAGGCTCGGACTGATCCGCTTTTTTGGGGTGCCCTGCACTGCGAAGGTTCCGCATCCCGTCGATGTCGCGCACAGGGGTGGCATATGATAGGGGCCGAGGGAGATCACCCAATCAAATTCTAAGGAGGATCGTGGCAGGTGAAGACCCATATTGGAAAGTAGGGAGGGAACCCACGGGGAATCCAGCGGAACCTCGGTGACAGCTAAAGAGAACTACAGTAATGCTACGTTGGATTTTGGTGGGATTCAGGTGGGAGTGAACTACACGGGTGGGCCTGTGAAGAGGGCGCGAAAGGAGGGGAAGCGAGGCGAACAGTAGAGGGAGGCTGCGGGCAATTTGTCTGGTGCATGTCTGCCTGTGCTGCCAGGTGTATCCGAGCAGCAGCAGCAGCAGCAGCAGCAGCAGCAGCAGCAGCAGCAGCAGCAGCAGCAGCAGCAGCAGCAGTAGCAGCTCAGACCGCGACGCCATGATGTTTCACGACAAGGGCCTCCGGAACTTCTCGACCCCATCCACGGGCCTGCCTTTTCGTCGCGGGTTATGTTTGGGTCCGAGAGCCTCTGGAGGCCCATATGTAGGAAAATGCTAGCGTTGTCATTTTTACTCGCGACGCCTGCAGGAGACCCATCCACATCTAGACTTCAAAATAGTTCCCCTGGAGACGGTGTGCTGTACAAGCCCTCTTGGCGTCGGGCAGGATGGCGCTACGCAGTGCCAATGCCCAGGATTGCCCTGGCCAGCCGCGATGGTCGTGCACCAGGAAGCTGGATTGTACATGGCGCGGCCAGCCTGGGCGAGAGCTGGATGTGCATGTGACCGCCTCCTCCTCTCGTGTCCCCATTTCGCCCTGTCAGGGTCTCGGGCGGCTGGTAGCGGAAGCGGTCCCAGAAGCTCGACATGATATTTTTCAGAACGCCGGCCCCCAGAGGTTTTGACCCCTTCCCCGGGACCGGTTTTTCATCCTGGGTCGTTTTCTGATTGTTCCGGCGCCCTGTAGGGGCCCCCAGAGGTCGAAAACAGCGGAACAGCTCCCGTCGTGATTCCTTCATGACTCGAGGCGGGCTGGGCCCACGTGCCTCCGCGAGGTCATGCACGCAAGCCGCGTCTCGGAGGGCCCGGGAATGGCCCCCCAGAGGCCGACGTAGCAAAAAATCGCCCATGGTTGTTTTTGTTCACAGCGCGAGGGGGGCCTGGGGTACTCGTGATGGCCCGATTTTCCACCACCTCTACCGTAGGCAAGACAGGGGCGAAGAGAGGATGGGGAGGTCCTCCTCCTCCTCCTCCTCCTCCTTTCCCTCCTCCCTCTCCTCCTCCTCCTCCTCCTCCTCCTCCTCCTCCTCCTCCTCCTCCTCCTCGTCCTCGTCCTCGTCCTCGTCCTCCTCCTCCTCCTCCTCCTCCTCCTCCTCCTCCTTCTCCTCCTCCTCCTCCTCCTCCTCCTCCCCCTCCTCCTCCAGGTGGTTCCCTGCGGCCCCAATCGCCTCCCTGCAGCCGTTTTGCCTGCGGGGGCGCGCTGGGCGGCGCCGCCATACGGGAGCCCCCAGCCAGGCGCCTGCTTGCCTGGCGTGACGCCGCCGCCGCTGAGCGGCCTGGCGGCCGCCGCTGGCGAGGAGGCCCTGGTGCCTGCCCCCCCCGCGGCGCCAGAGAGGAAGAGACGCAGGCCACCCTCTCCAGGGTGGCACAGGCGCTTGCGCCAGAAGAGAAGCCGTGCCCTGCCCGACCCCTGCTTCGGGTACATCGCGCTGCACGTCTCCTCCGCCGACACCACGGCTCGGAGTTGCCCCAGCCTTTCATGGGCAAGGGCGCCCCACGAGATGGCCCCCAGGGCCCCAAAGGCCGTTGGGCGTGTGTGGCGACCCGCCAGTGCGGGTTCCAGAGGAATTTTCCTGGCAACGATCGTTGCTATCGCTGCGGCCGTGATCGTTCAAGTTGCCCTGATCCAGAGGGATGGACCCCCCTCAGCAGGGCACTAAGCGGTCTGCCTCGGCGGGAGCTGCCAGACGTCCTGCCTCAGCCCGCGACGCCGCGTCGGTCGGCTCCACCGCAGCTGAAGATGTGGATCACGTCGGGCGGGCACGCAAGGCTTTGCAGGCACGCCGCAAGCTGCAACTCGACGATGATTGTGAACTCCTGCTCGCAGCAAGGGGAGCAGCTGGCGGCCGCAGAAGAGCAGGAACGATCCAATCGAGCCCCAGATGATATCTTGCGACGGGCCTTGGACAGGCAGCCAACCAAGGTCCGAGAGCACGCCGTCGTTGTGGAGGAGATCGCGCAGCTGCGGACCACAATCGAGGCCAAGCAGCTGGAGCTGGAGGGTCTGGCTCAGGAGGTGGACGCCGTTCGCCTGGAGGCCAGCACCGCTCGACCTGCCGTCATGGCGGCAAGCGCTCCGACGAGCGAGCAGGGAGCCTCCGCCTCTAGGGTCGACAGGTTCCTCGGGCGCTTGCAGGCTCTGGTCGCCGACGCCCCAACAGCAGTGCAGGCTGGCAACGCGGCCACCGCACTCACCTCCATTGGCGCTCACCTCGTGGAGCTTCACCGAGCCTTCGAGGAGCACAAGCGCATCATGGGAGGAGGGGCCGCCCCGGGCCAGAGCGGTCAGCCAGCAGCGGGCTCGCAGCCACCGTCAGCGGCTGCTAGGGCCCACAATTGGCAGGACTGGAAGGATACGTACCTACACGGCGCAGTCACAGTTGAAGATCTCCTGGTTGTAGCACCCTCGGCCGCACCAACTGCGAGCGCGGATGCCTCAGCAGTGCCAGTGGCCGCCCTTCCACCTGGGTGGCGATCAGAAGGCTTCACCACCACTCCCTCGGTGACACTTGTGTTGCGTGTTGCAGCGGGTGGGATCCCGATGGCCGTCTCAGATTCTACTTCGTTGACTTCGCACTTGGCTGATGGCGGTTCAGGTAGTGGGCAGCGACAAGAGTCGGAAGCACATCGATGTAATTTCACGATATCAGACCATACGTCAATTTTGGACTCACATCTGGCTGAGGTCGATTCATGTGATGTGCAGCATGACGGCAGTGGTCTTTAATAGTTCTTACTCGAGCGTTTCGAGATCGTGCTCTTCCACGTTGGCCACTGGGGATGCGCCAGGTTTTGAAGGAGGCCAGGGCATTTTCACGGAGCACCTTGCGTCTTACGCCCAGCATTGGCACGCGGGCACGGCGTGCTGGATGGCCTACGAGGACTGGGAGTATTGGTGCATGCCGTATGCTGAGGCAGTCGTTGCTGAATCCCCCAGCTTCAATGTGATGGTCACAACTCTTGCGGAGGTGCACAAGCTCGCGGAGCGTCTGTGCCTCCACGCGTGGGCGGACGCCTCCGAGTATCAGGTGCAGGTGATCAGCTACATGCAGCGCATTCGGACCACGCCAGCGCACTGGTATCGTCAGCTCCTTCAGATCACGCAGGAGCTTCGGACGACGCGCCTTCAGCTAACAACGGAGCAAGCAGACCAGGCCTACGCGAGACTCCTTGTCTGCGAGGAGTCGAGGCTTCATGATTCTGCTATCGCGGTGGCCGCTCGGACGAGACGCCTCCTCGAGCTCCAGCAATCGATCATTCCTGAACCCATGGTAGTTGATCCCGAGCCCTCTGGGCAGGGTGCTGACCATGACGACCTGGACGATGTAACCTCCTTGCTGCAGAGTCAGAGTGATCGGCCAGGACCGCAGCTTCGCGAAGCTGATTGTGTCCTTCGGGCGAGTCGTGCCCGGGCGTCCGGTGGAGCTGCTGTGCGGAATCGGAGATCGCGTCGCAGTGTGATCAATCGGATGCTACGGCAGCGGGCCCAGGCATTGTCGCCTGCAGGACCGCAGCAGGCTCAGCTTGAGGCCGATGCTGCCTCGCCCGCCGCTGACGTGGGCGTCGTCCACGGGTCATCCTTCTTCGGCGGCCGAGTCGGCGCGGCGTTCGCCCCCCCCCCTCCCCCCGCGGGTGCGACGTTCCAGGGGCTCCAGACGCGGCGGTGGTCGATGCCCCCTGGATCGGAGCAGGCGCCGTGGCGCGGCGAGGGCGGCATTGGCAGCGACGACCCCTGCGTGGCGGTGGCGCCCAGATGCCTGCCCGCGCGTGCAGATGGCGTCTCCACCGCCAGCTCAGCGGGGCGTCAGCACCGAGGATGTCTGCAATGCGGCGCACACCTTCCAGCTTCCAACACAGCCTGACACCTTCGTGATTCAGCCGGCCCCAGCTGCCAAGAGGATGAGGCTGATCAACCGTCACTTCCCACACGTGGTTGAAGAATTCAAAATTCGACGAGGAGGTGAGACCATCACCAGCGACGACGAGCCCTGCGGCTCGGGGCCACAGCCCGTTCCACCTAAAGCTTTTAAGGCCCAGGGCGCTGTCGTGCGGAGGCAAGGTCCCTCGTCGTCAGGCATCAGCTCATCGCGCAGTGCGGCTCGCATGTTTGCACATACTTCGGCTTCAGGGGGCTTGTCGACCAGTGGGCGGGCAGCTACTACTTCGGGCAGATCGAAAGCATCGGGGCCTCACAAGTCGAGAAGGGCTCCCAAAGGTAGGAAACGCACAGACGTCCGAATCGCCACGTTCAACGGGAGCGGGCGGCCACAGCTCGAGGATTTCCTCGAGCACGGCCTTCGCTACAAGGTGGCGTGCGCCCAGGAGCTCA